AGCTGGCGACAGCTCGTCAGGAGATCGTCCTATACCCTGGGACGATCTCATCTCTACACGACCAGGTATCGAATCTGGTTCGTGACAACAAAAATCTGAAGGGGATTCTTGAGAGTAATGGCTATTTCGTCGTTAGAAGAAGCCACGTACTGAACGTACGGACGAAGACGTCCCACGTAAAATGTAGGATGCGTACGCATCCTGCGTGGCAACTCGATCGTGTATGCGTTGCCTAGGCAGCGCAATACACGAAACGGGCCGATGTACTTGGGCAACAATTTATTGCTGCCCACGTTAGTCACTACATGTTTAGGTAGATTTACTGTTGACAGTAAAACTAAATCACCTTCAATAAATGTCTGAGCATTTGCCCTTCCATTATTGTCTGCGTTTCGCTTTTGCTTGTCCACCGCTTCTGCGATGGAGTCTTGCACAAAACGGACTACCGCATCACGAGTCAGCAGGAAATCCTCAGATGAATCGTTGCTTTTGGCTGCAGTGCATTCACAATGCACTGCAGAGATAACGGTTACTAATTAAGCGAGAACATTACTGTTCTCACTTACGATACCTCGAACGATGCTGACGACGTCAGCATCGCTATCAGTAGAGCGTCATTGCTCTTACTTTCTTCCTCTTCACCGAAGGCGAATGGTACGACTTCGGTTACTTTCGCGTCGACCATAACGTCGTCGCGTGATGAGCAAGAGCCAGATTGGTTCTAGCTCGAGCGAGTCTCCCCCCCTTAAATTAGAGTCAACCTCTATATACTAAGCTGAGGACACGTGGACGGCGAAGGCCATTCGCGTACAACGGTGTATGCGTCGTAGACGCATGCACTGAGTTGTTGATGGCGAATTCGACCATCGACAAAAACTCACTCCAACTCGTAAACGAGTGGACGTACCCTCGAAGAATCTCTTCGAGAACGCGATTGACGCGTTCAGTCTAACCATCAGTTTCGGGATGGTCAGAAGTAGACATTGTGAGCCGTATTCTAAGTGTTTGGAACACGGAACGCCAAAACTCAGCCGTGAACCGGGGGTCCCTATCGGACACAAGTTCACGGGGTAATTCGTGCAATTGAAAGATTGTATCGATAAAAACTCGAGCACAGCCCTCTGCTGTGATCTACTTAGGTACAGCAACAAGATGTACCATCTTGCTGAACCTGTCTACAAACACGAGAATACCATTATTCCCGTAAGCGTCTTTGGGAAACCCAAAGACGAAGTCCATTGATAAGGACTCTCATCCTTTTGCCGGAACAGGTAGAGGCTGCAATGTTGCACGGAGTGAAGGACTAGGCTTCACTCGTTGACAGAACTCGCAAGCACGCACGTACTTGCGCACAAACTCATACTGGCGTGGCCAGTAAAAGTCGCGACTGACCGTGAGGTAAGTCTACTCAAGGCCGCGATGCCCGCTTATTGGTGCATCGTGACATTCAAACATGATCCGTAACCTGAGATCATGTTGTGGCGGTACAACGACACGAGGCGTGTCGTTGTTGACGGCTTTGTAGTACAGTAAGCCGTCCCGATGGGTGTATCGATCGAGAGAAGATCGATACATGGCAGGCAAGCGCTTCTTAGCTTGCGTGGATGGGTTGTTTGAGGTACTCCATCAGGCGTACAAGACCATTATCTTGTGCGCATGCCATTCTAATGTCGTCGAGTAAGCTCGACGACAAGACGCTGGTACTCAGCGTGGCGACAGTGGCGTTCACATCACTGTCGGATTGCACTGTCGGCTCTAGGTCAGGCCGACGTGAAAGAGCATCGGCGACGACGTTAAGTCGTCCCGGTTTATACTCCACGGAGAAGTTGTACTCCGCGAATAACAACAACCATCTCGCCATTCGTTGCGAGAGGTGTGGACTGTTTACAGCCGTGCGTAGTGACGCATGGTCTGTATATACAATGTACGGTCTATCTCCTAAGAGATAGACGCGAAACTTAGCCAGTGCATACTTCATGACAAGGAGTTCCTTGTCATGCACCGGGTAATTGCGCTCGGACGGTTTCAGCTGACATTGATAACAGACGACACGCTCTGCGCCGTCTGTATCATATTGCATCAGTGCACAGCCGATTGCAAAAATCTCTGGCGTCACAGACCACATGAAATGGTCTGTCTTGATCGGCAATCGTCAATACTGTCGATTGCATCAAGCTTTGCTTGATAAGTTCAAAGGAACGCTGACAGTCAGCGCTACAGTTCCACTTTACATTTCTCTTGAGTAAACAAGAAAGATGTACTGTCATTTCGACGTAATTGCGCGAGTAATTGTGCAAGTACGCCGCTAGCCCAAGGAGCTTCCTTAGTCCCTTGACATCGACTGGCACTGGCCAGTCGGTGATCGCCTTGATCTTTTCTGGATCAGGGCGTACGCCGTTCTTTCCGACGATGCACCCAAGAAGTGGTATTTCGCTAGCTGCGAATATACACTTCTTGAGGTTGGCGTACAACTTATGCTCGCGCATAAGTGTAAGAACCTTACGGACGTGAAGTCTATGGACTTACATGTCTGTTTTCCCGTCCATAGCCCGACTATAGACGAACAACATCATCGAAGTAATTCGGTGCGAATTCGCGCACCGGTCTCAATAGATGTGAAACACATCTATTGAATGTAGCTGGTGCATTACTAAGCCCTTGCGCCATCACCAACCATTCTCAGAGAATAACACTGGGAGTGCTCACTGCTGTGTACGGGATGTCCTGTTCACGCATTAGGATCTGATAGAAACCATTCATCAGATCCATGGACGAAAAGATGGTACTCTTAGACATACCATCTATGATTACGTCCTTTCTCGGTATCGGCGTTTGCGCCGGTATCGTTGCAGCGTTCAATATGTTGAACGCGTGTACTATCCGCCACCCTCCTGTGGCCTTGCGCACACAGAAGGTCGGAGAGCTGTGAATTGAAGTTGACTCCCTCACATGGCCCGCTGCTAGACGATCGGCAAAGAACTTTTCGATCGCCTCGACCTGTTCCCGAGGCAGTGACCACTGCTTCATGACACAATATTTTGTGCCACGAACTAGGTCGATCTCGTGTCGAGTACCTTTATCCTTAGGCAACTCGCACGGAACGGATTCAGGGAATACATCCTTGAATTCGACCGAATCCTTTACAAAGGATTTGACTTCAGCGACTCCCAGGATTGCGATGTATATCGTTCAATCCGAGTCTTCTCATCAAGGACACTTTCGTCCATTGATGAGCTGCTGAGAACCCGTTCGTTCTCGGCAAAAACTGTTGCTGACCGAATGTCAGTCATGTAATCGTCCTCTGCGACGAGCACACAGATCTGCTTGACTTTGCCACTACGCAGATCACGCAAGAACCTTTTAGGTTCTAGTGTAGGCAACTGAGTTATCTCCGAAGTTAACTTCGGAGGCGCGATCAGATCAAGCGTATAAGCGCCTACGTTTGATCCGTCATTAACCAAGACGTTCAACGTCTCGGTTACTTCCTGGGGACTTATTCCCTCAGTGATTATTTCCTGGGGACTTATTGCCGCAGGCTCGATGGAACTTGTTCCATCGACTTCCTCTAGCTGTGGTGGCGCAACCACAGCGAGATCCTCTACGATCAACTCTCCAGTTGATCTAGGATTACCGTGTTGCCGCTTCTGGGCAACCGGTTTACTCTTCGGTGAATGCTGCCCTCTAGGCGAGCATTCATGTCCCGGTCCACTCGACTTATTCGAGTGGTGAACCTTCGGCGCTGCCTGTGCTTGTGCACAGCCGCCGGCAGCTTGCTCCACAGTGTGACTGTCTGTCACGCTGAGTTCTTGTTAGCAGAAGACACGAGGAGTGTCACGTGATGACCGCGAGTTAACAAAAGTCGAGCCTGTACTGTCTAATCTTTTAGGGATGACCTTGTTGATGCTGTGCATATACTGCTTGATGACAAGAACGGCGGTTAGCACTCCTGTTATGTGCTCACCGACATAGTGCTTTGAGAATCTGGTGTGATGAATCTGGGCAAGTGCAGCTGGAAAGCAGATGCAAACCACTAAGTACATGAATTTCATCGTGGTAAACCAAAGCTCAAAGGCTGATGGCCATTTTGGTGACAGCAGGGAACACGTTTGGTCCATGCATCTAGAGTAGAAAGGATTGCGAAGGACGAGCTATAAGAAAATGTACCACAAGTTGTACAGACAGATACATGTCTTCATGACAATGTACGCTAAATGAATAGCAAACGATAAAGCCATTGATATGAACAGTAGTAGATCTTTTTACAGCATTAGCCGCATTCATTGTATTTCGGACGTACCCAATCTATTCCTTTCTTCCCGTTATGATCAAAGCCATTTGCGAAACTTTTCATCACCTGCCCAGAGCTTCTAGCATGTCCATCAAAGCTTTTTCGTACTCGAACCATTAATGCCTCAATAGCATATACATCAAGTGTCGCCGGCAAAGTGCGTCTTCATAATTAAGATTCTCGTTCCTTTCTTTTTTTCCACTTGCGTTTGCGTTTGCGCTTCCAAATTGTTGGTTCTGAATCCAATGCGCTAGTACCTTGGACAGGGCAGACTTTTGGCCACTCTTCTCATGTAATATCTTGAAATCCTCCAGTGTATATCCCGACTGTTCCATCAAAGTATGAACCTGTAAAATTGGATATGTCTTCGGGCCATAACGAAGATGCCAAGTATATTCGTACATCACCAATGTTTTGTAACGAGAGAAGTCGTAACCGGTTTTTGGGGTTTTCGGCGATAGACCGAGATGGGCCATGACATCTTCTACACTACGCTTTTGATCGAGCCACGATTTAATCAAATCCTTTGTTATCTGCGTCTTGGCGTATTGCTGTAACCGTCGCAGAGCCTTATCGAAGTTTTCTCGGCTGCCGATGTGATGCACCATCCCATGTGTTTGAGCTATGACCTCTTTGTCCATATTCGGTAAAAACACCGACTTTATCAAAGCTTCTTCGTCATATCCTACAATGCCGAAAGCTTCAAGCAGGTTTATGCGGCGCAAGGGGTTTTTTCATTGTACTGATCCACGTAATAGATCAATCTAAACGTTGGAATCTGTACAAGAAGCAGATCTTGTCCAGGGATAAATTTTAACCTTTCGAGAACATCGGTGGGATGTATATTCATCTCTAGCCATTGTGCATGTCGATCTCTTGCATCTGTAGCACCCGCGTATTCATACACGATATCGAGCTGACCTTTAACGTCATCATGATGTGCGAGAAATTGATCGACCGTGAGCACTGCGGCGTCAGAGTGTTGATGTGGGACCGTGGACACTGCGGGGTCAGAGTGTTGATGCGGAAATAAGAAGTGCTCATCGATATTGAACGCTGCGGCGTCAAATTGTTGAAGTGGGACCGTGGAAATTGCTGCGTCAGAGTGTTGATGCGGAGGTGAGAAGAGATCATCGAAAGTGAACGCTGCGGCGTCAGAGTGTTGATGCGGGACCGACGACAGTATCTCGTCCATCGTTAAAACATTTTCATCGACAAGAAGGTCCATTAATCCAAAAAAATTCGGCGTCCTCTCTTCTTTGTTATCGTTAATGAGATTGTCAGACCTCAATTTTCTCTTGGCCGGGACTTCAGACCCGAGCGAACGAACTGACCTGGATTGCTCGGCACTTGTACCAAGACCCACGAGAATGGCAGCAACTGCAGCCCATATCATACCGAAACGAAGGTACTAACACAATGCAATTCACTGCGAACCAGTCGTTGACTGATGAGGGAGAAATACGAAATGAAGTCCGAGATATCCTTAATCTCTCTTAATATTAGTCAGTAATCACTGCTGGATAGGCAAGCGGTATGATAGATTGAAAGGGATAGAAACGAGATTACGGAGCTGATCAAATGATAGTACGATACTTTATTGAACGAGATACCACGATCTCTCTTACCACCACAAGATGCATACGCATTCACGTCCGTGAGGCAAGTATAATTTGGTTTCATGGCAACGTGTAAAGTAAGTTAGACTTGTACGATATCAAGATGAAATCAGACGCAAAGTACAGGCGTGGGCGGGCGTCAACGACGAGTAATGCAATGTCGTCTGATGATTTTGGTGGCTAGATGCTGGAAGCTTCTCTGCAATTGATTTGTTATTCAGTTTCTGCTATGTCCAGCTTACGCTGTGACAGTCTTCTTAGCACGTCTGACCATCTCCTGGACTTATTATATGGAGCAATTGAGAGCACACTAAATGAGTCAATTCGTCGCCGTTGCATACAGGAAAAGTGGCGTAAACTGATCAGCATTCGACACTGCAGACGTCGAGGTGAAGGCACGGCGGAAAAAGATGTTAAAGAGAGCAGGAACGAGACCAAACAAGCACAGCAGACAAACAACTTGGAAGAAGAGAGAGATACTGTGGATGCAGCAAAGAAACAGTTACAGACACTGGAGCTTAAGCTGCAAGAGCTGACGGACCTGAAACATGTTAAATGTCAGCTGCTTAAGGATATTTTAGTAGAGGAAGCCGGGTCAAGACGAATGGAGGTGGGGCGACGGCTTCTGTGACGATCGCCAAAGCAGCGACGTGTGGACGATCAGAAGCTTAATACGTTGCTCAGTCCAGCACAAATGCAAGTGCCAGCTCCTCTGACAGAGGTAGCAGACTTCGCTACTACGAGTGGCTCGAACGTTCCCGGCAAACTTGAAGCCTATGGCTACTAACAGAGTTTGAGGTGTGTCAGAGTCTTGTAGACGGTAGATCAAGGCATGAGACTGGTGCGTTTGGTCATTTATGTGCGTGTATTATTTCTTTTTCTTGTAATGTCGTTTCTCTTGGGACTTTTTCGTGAAGAATGAGTCGCTGGAGACTCTTTGTCTTTTCGTCAAGTAGTAAGACAAGAGGGGGGTGTCGAGTGATGAACTGCGATGCGGTGACGCCATCGAGTGCTGAAATATTTGTTCTTCTGCTGCATCTTTTGTTGCTCGACTGGATTGGAGTTCCTCCTCATTGACTTGTTCAGCCATCACAGCGTTTATTGCAGCCGCTGTAGCCCTCGGATTCGTGGCAAATGCCTTCGTCTTTCCTTGTGATTATTGAGTCTGTCATTAATGGCACGGATTCTCTACTGCCTCTTGTACTTTCCGTCTGTGCTTCCGACACCGTCTGCTTTCCCGAGAATTCTTGTGACTTGATCACCGCGGCACTTTGAGAGTCTGTTAGCTGCGTCTTCTGCATCTTCGTATCGAGCGTTAAATTGGTCTGCACCTGCTCCAATGTCTTGTTTATTGGCGATTGAGACTACGCGCATGGATGTGATCTATATTAAAATGGCAACATATACCAGTAGAGGTATTGATGGCCACCAGGGCTTTACCACCCAGTATCAATATCCACGTCTTGAACGTGAAGCGGAGCAACTGCTTACTAATTTTCCAGAAATGCTGTTCGGCCGACTCTTGTGCTGGATGAACGAAGACTTTTACGTGGCCAAGAATCTGCTAAACGTCACAGCAATTTCGTGCTTCATACGGATATGTATGATGGGTATTTTTACATGTTCTCGCATCGAAGGTGCTCGATTTCTTGGAGGAAAGTATGTACATTGCCAGCATCAAGACTGAATCTCTTACCCCATCTCTTTTATCGCCAACATAGTGGAGCAGATGCTTTGCTTGAGATAGTGAGGGAAAAGGCCTTAGTATACAGGAGCTGGCAGTGTTCACGTCGCTGTCGGAAGCGAAACGTGACCCTGAGGATCTTGTGCGATGCTTTGCCTACATGCTGCCTACACTGCGAGCGTGCGGACATGATGCGGAATACCGAGCTATGGAGGAGGACTTTGGCTTGCGACAACGCATCAAGCGTCGGGACACATTTCTAGCCACGACGGTTGTTTTGTGACGCATCTGTCCGGAGCGAGACCAGCGAAAACGCTCGCGTCGTTGTCGAACATCCATGGCTCACTCGCAACATCTTACTTGCTACCTGTCGTGAGCTTTGCGAGATGCAATCTCACTGAACGAGGACCCGTGTCTTTTGTGCACGATAATCACCTGTAGCATGCCACCACGAAATAAGGACGAAAGCCTCCAGTACATTCGACCCGCCCGATGAGCATTAAGATTCCTGAAGAAGACCTGGTGAACTTAAGACGTACTGTGCTTAAGAGGCGTGGTGCCGTATCCGACAGCTGGACAAATGCCCGACCCAGATACCAGGAAATTCAATCACAATCTCCACAATATCAACGAGTTGCATTGTACGCACTGTAAACAGTAATGCACCACGATCAAGACGCGTGTAGGAAGGCCTTAAATACCTATCAACCTTGAGCTCTACCATCCTCTCACGAGAGCGGGTCCTATCCAAACCAAGGCATCCCAAACATATCCAAACCTTAATTTGATACATGTAACGGGGTTACACGACGGTTGTAGCGTCTTTCCGGGAGTTTACGGTTAAACTCCCCTTGTATTGCATGTAATGCATTATGATACTTCTCTTTAGAGAGGTATTAAGTATAAGCGTTAAAGATACGGTATTCGGTAATACCGTATCTTATCGATTAGGATTCGATAATCGATAACGCTGTACTAAGTACATCATACACAGATGTTTAGACGATACGTCGTCCAATAGCAAAGTCTGCATATAATAATTACTATTATAGTAATTAATATAGTGTAGTGTACTTAGAGTAGGACTATTCATAAAATCTTAAAGCATAAATAAAATCAGTTCTCCTTTTGAGTTTAAGATCACAAGTCGTTCTGACTTGTTCTCTTGTGCACTTCGTGCGTTGGTTCTCTGAACCTCTAAGCTTCTAGCTTGTTCCTGCACCCTGTGCGTTGGTTCTCTGAACCTTAAGCTTATTGCTTGACTGACTAAAGTCTCCCTCCTAGTTCCTTAGAACAGGGTTACTTTCAGTCGTTTAATTAGTTCCTTAGAACTAAGTGGCTTTTAGCCTTAACTCTATTTAGTTCTCTCGAACTAAGAGGCTTCCAGCCGAAAGTCTTCCTCTGGCTAAAGAGCTGTGCAGCTCCGCTACACTTGGTAGCACTTGTAGTCAATCCTACACCTGAGTCTTTAAAGACTGACCCTCTGTGAGAATGGAGAATCAAAATCACCTCTCTGAGGCACAACGACTCGCCTTAGATAAATTATCTGCGTTCGTCGGGCCTGATCAAATCGAGGCCCTTTTGGCCCAAGGCCCCGAGGTTCTAAATGCTCGTCTTGAGGCCTTTATGCGTTATGAAGCAACGCTCCTCGGGCAGGTCCATGACCAGGCAGCGTCAGCAGCGCCTACACAGTACATCCCGGTACCTGTGCCCGATGCAGAGCCAAAGGCTCGTCCACTTGTTTTAAGTGTCAAGACCTTCGAGGGGAAGGAGGGAGAGAACCTTCTCCTCTGGATCCGAGAAGTTGAAATGGCAATGGATGCCGCCATGCTTGCATCCGATAAGCAACGAGTTGGCTTGGCCATTTCTAAGCTCGGTGGAAGAGCTAGGGAGTGGGCTCTAACGAGCGATGTCTCTGTAAATGCTGCATTTCCCACATGGGAGATGCTTAAAAAGCAATTAACTTGTGTGTTTGCACCGCCTAATCAGGCTTATCGTGTGCGCTCACGCTTCCTAGCTACCCGACAGGGTAAGAAAGAACTGTCGGACTATGTCCAAGAGTTGAGAACTCTCATTGCTGCTATGCAGCAGGACCCACTGGCAGAGGAAGTCCGAGTAACCATTTTTATGGAGGGACTTCGCACTGGGGTCGCCAGGACGGAAGTTTTCCGTGTCCAGCCTTCAACTTTTGAGGAGGCAGTCAGCGTAGCATTTAACGCTGAATTCAATTTTAAATCTGCTCGATATGGTCTGCCCTGGTATCAATCAAATACCTCTAACAGGGCGGAACCCATGGACCTCAGCCATGCTGAAGAAGCTGAGCTTCAAGCTGCTGAGCAGCAAGGTAGCATCCGTAGATGTTACATGTGCGGAAGCACTAGACATCTCCGCCCTAGCTGTCCGTTGCGAAAGCAACGTTCAAATCGGCAAAGCCGAAGCCCTGCTCCTAGCCAAAAGGCGAGCACCGCAGGGGAAAATGTCAACTCCCAGTAGGCGCGGGGCGCCCTACTGGGAAAGAACTAAGTTCTGTTGAATCTTTAGGAGGTAAAGGTAAACAGGGCTTAGCCCCAGGTGGTTCTGTGGATGCTCCCATAGAACAAAATTACAAGCCAGGCTTGTTGGTTGTGTCGGCAACCGTTAAGGGTTTTGAGAAACCCTGGTCAATTTTAATTGACTCAGGGGCGTCAGGGAACTATGTCCGACGTCGCTCCCTTGAGGGGAGTCAGCTGTATGCTGAGGCGCTGGAAGCGCAAGAGGGTGACAGTATAACCGTACGTCTCGCGACTGGTGTACGTGTCACCGTTCCTAAAGTTCCGTTGAACTTAGGTGTGAAATTTTTAGATTTCAATAGCGTTGAACGCTGTCTTGTCCTAGATTTGGACTCGAGATATGATCTCATTCTCGGTATGGCCTGGCTGGAACGCCATGAGCCGTGGATCGATTGGAGATCCAAAACTTTAGGCGCAACGCGCAATGTTCCTAGCGAGGCTTTGGAGAGTCATGAACCCACCTTCGCTAGAAAACAAAAGTGCTATTGGCGCGAGCCATTAACTGATTCAGTTAATGTGCTGGACATTGGAGTGTCTGAGTTGATAAACTCTGATGTCAACAATAATAGTGTCGAGCAGAGCTCAATGACACTTAGTGGAACGGCACGTACTCCGTTAAGTGATACTGTTAGTGATATTGGCTGTAAATGCGATTCACTGGATGTCGGTAATGACATCGGCTCTCGTATAGAGCAAGTTAAGGTCGATGACCTTGTTAGTGATATTGGCTGTAAATGCGATTCACTGGATGTCGATAATGACATCGGCTCTCGTATTGAGCAAGTTAAGGTCGATGACCTTGTTAGTGATATTGGCTGGAAATGCGATTCACTGGATGTCGGTGATGACATCGGCTCTCGTATAGAGCGAGTGAAGGTCAATGACCTTGTTAGTGAAGTCACTGGTACTAGTGACCCACTGGGTGTCGGTAATGACACCGGCTCTCGTATAGAGCGAGTGAAGGTCAATGACCTTGTTAGTGAAGTCACTGGTACTAGTGACCCATTGGGTGTCGGTAATGACATCGGCCTTTACATAGGGCAGGTAAACGACAAGGGGTCTGTTGACCTTGGGGACGATAACATCCCAAGTACTTTGAAGAGTACGGTCTCGTCAAGGAGACGGCAGCGTCGCCAGATGGCGGCTGCGAGGCGCAAAGCGTCTGTTTTATCGCATAGTAATGTCAGTGACCAGTTGTACACCCTGGTCAACGGAGTGACAGGTGATGTAAATGGTGAGGTTGACCTTGAGGCCCTCCCATCATTAAATGCTCTTTTAGAGCTAGACGAAATGTCTGTGGATGAATTTCATCAGGCCTTGAAGGCAGGTGCTCTGTCCGATATGGTGGTCATTCGACCTAACCTCGAGCTGAACTCATCCTCGCTTGTCGATGAGACAGTCCTTGAAGATACCAAAGCGGCACTAAGTGCACGTAGTGG